TGAACTGCTACCTGGAACTCGTCTGTTCGCCTCTATCAATGACAAGTGTGCCAGAAACGCATACTCCTCTCCCATGGCCCGTATCACTTCTTGATCACTCGCCACTTATTACTGACTCGGTGGACTGAACTCGAGAAATAAGCAGTCCTGCTTAGACGCCTAATTATCAATAGCCGCCCGAGAACATTGCACGGAAAGTGTGGAAACGGCTCCTCCATAGCTTTCACTGTAGGCACCACTGTCTTTTCTGAGTGCGGATATATTTCGGTGTATTTTTGGGAACCCTTTTTTTCAGTTATCAAATTATGCAAAACCCTCATATGGAAACTGAAGACATATTTAACGTAAATGGGGGTAGCATCATTTCTGTTTAAGAATTGATCGGCTGACTGGTAAACACTTAACTTAAAATGTCGAGGTAGTTTACGGAGGGACGAAAACGCGTGTAATCGTCCATTTTACACCCTCGTCAAGTCTTAACCTGACCGGTTTGATCGTGACGCAATGTTTTTCAAAGCTCAGATATTCACACGCCGGCAAGACTTTGCGTATACGTTCTAGAGCCCGTACATAACTGACATTCGTGCCACTATCCAAAAAACGCTTTACGGCAGTGGAGACTTCCGGTCTGACAATTGACAGTCATACAACACCAAGGCAGGGAGACCAGTGGAAACCCTGGCTAGCTGAGTCAAGTAATTTTCATGAGATCTTGACAGTTTGCAGTAAAAAGCCTGATCGGCATCGACCAGAAATGAATTCAGCGAAACATGAAAGGTCAACTAAAAAGGATTACTTGACAACACGAAGAGAAGCAGTTGTAGATTCTTGACAGCTTACGCATTTAGGCAAATACACAACACTAACAACGGACAAATATCGGTAAAAGCATTAACACCAGCTGTCCACGAGTTGAAAATTGTCTATCAAACCAAAAGGAGTGAGATTTAAATAAGAGCCAACGCAAGGGCTACATAACTGACAGACCCGTCACCTTGACGCTCTTTTCTGAGGGCCCGAAATAACAGTTAAAAGCTAACTTCGAATTTAGCTTGTCGGCGGTTCTCCAGCGTTCTATGGTACCCGCTACAGGCGGCTTCTCACATGCTATAAGCAAATAAGAATCCGAAGGATTATTTTGAGGTCTATACGCATTCGTAAACACTCAAGGGAGTTTGGCAAAACACTACGACATTCGGCGACAGGGGTGTCATACTATCGGTTTCCAATAGGGAACTCGTATGCGCGGGAAGTGGAGTTGTAATGATTCGAATTTGCGGCGCACCATGCGTATTCTTTGCGACTTCGGTTCGTTACCGTAAGCTTTCTCAATGTGCCGCGTAGTTATAGGATAAACGACACCCAATATCCAAAACCATGCGGCCAAACTGCAGGCTATCCTTGCCTGTGACACGGATGACCGACTACGGCCCGTAATCGAAAACGGGCTATTCCAGTCTCTTTCGTCTTTGGCGGCATGCCTTCTAATTTGCCCGCTTCTCGCCATGCTACCGTATGCCATAGCAGAACAAACATCTTCCCGTCATTCAACTGTAGAAGGGCTGCACCACTTAGATGAATATACACATATCGTGGAAGGGGTGTTTACCGATCGGGTTTCACGGATATGCTCACCGCGTTGCGCCTTGGGACTCAATCTAACACCCTAAAAGGCTGCAAGTTAGTGTAAAAAAAGAGTATTGGAAAAAAGAAAGAAGACTAGGATGGCCCGCCCTGAAAAAATTAGATTTGCACACCGATCCATAGGCTTCCCGAAGCAAACAAGCTTCGTACGGGCGATAGGGGTAACGAACAGGCAACCACCTACCAGGCCGAAGTCGGCCAAGGTATGATAGCAGAGCGGATACGTCAGAGTCTGGGGGGTAGATTGATACAGCACTGTTTCGGGCTTGTTTGCCTTCATTCAGCCAACCATAACCCTGACCACCAGCTGGGACCGGAAACACAACCATGCGCACAGACGCACCTGGCGCAGCTGGTCCACCACTGGGGTGCTGTATCAATCTACCTCACAGACTCTGTCGTATCCGCTCTTTGCTGATATATATATATATATATACAGATGTGTGTGTGTACTGGAAAGTCGGCATCCCACGAAATATAAGACGAAGTCAAAGCCGTTCTTTAGGAAAAGGAAATTTATTGCGCAAGTTTTCGCGCCAGTCACCCAGGCGTCGTCAGATGCAGACCGAGAGCAAATGTGCCGACAACAGATAACATCTGGTGTGCACTTTAAAATCGATAAGTGTTCGGCGTTTGCGCTCGTGAGTGGCTGGAATCAATGTCATTCTGTTCTGATTGGTTCTCTTTTCCTCCATTTCTCCTTGAGACTTTTGTACGCTGCATTTAACTCGATGTACCAGCTGATATCCAATCACCAAAATATATGAACTATCGAAAGTTCACAAACCCGACGTACCATTGCGACTGACAGTACCATTAATCGGTGCACCGAATAACAAGATTTTTAAATGGCTATTCCACAAACTCCGTCCCTTTAAAAAGGATTGGGAGACTCCAATCGAGAATTCTGTTGAACTTCTAGACAAAATCCGAGGACTCATTATTGATACGAATGAGATAATGGTATCGTTCAATGCTGCCTCTCTATTCACACCAATTTATTTAGCAAGGTAGAGCAGAGAAGAACTCCGACACTCCTACGACATTGATGTTCCTGCAACTGCTTTGCTTGTATTCTTGGACCAATGTCTGGAAGCAAACTTTTCGTTCGCACATGAATATTATCGACAGCTGTATGAAGATCATACGGAGTCACCTATTTCTGGCTTTCTGACTGAGGTTACAATGTAAAAATTAAAGGCTATGGTCCCATATTATTCAATTCCAAATTATGGGTACTCTACGTAGATGACATCTTTTTCATCCTCGAGAGGGATCAGCTGGAAACGCTGCATAACGCTATCAACTCAACAATGCCGGGAATCATCTTTGCGCTCGAAAGAGAAGTTGACAGCAAGCTCCTTGTACAGAGAAAAGCTGACGCGACATACCGCACATATATAACAAAGAAGCTTATACAGAAATTATCCTATATGACGAGAGCGACCAGCCAATTGCTCACAGACGGAGTGCTGTGAATGTCCTACATAATCGACCAAAGACACACTGCTCTGAAAACCAAGGGTAAAAAATAGAACTCGATTCTTTGTTGAACCTATTTTCCTGAAACGGCTACCCCAGAGATTTTGTGCCACGGCTTTTAGAGCACTGTGATAATTTCAAGCGCGTCAGATTGTTTGTAGTAAGCGAAATGCGCTGAGTCGCCGACCTTACTCTTCCCTCCAATTCCCCAACCTCAGCCGATGTCTGAGCTGGTTAATTGACGAGTGCGGGGAATGGGCGCGGTGGCTGCCATAAGCATTGACACTGTCTGCGCGGTCGCATGGGCTGCTTGCCTCCCCCCCTCCCCAAACAGAGGCATCAGGATATCACACAACAGGGTTGGACGGCATACATCTCACATGAGGAAGAGTGTCATAGGTCATGGTAAAAAGGGGCTGTTTCAGCTTGTTTCTCGGTCCATCAGTCCGCCACTCCAAATAGACGCACACACAACTGCACGGACTGTATCGACTGAGCCGGGGCGCCAGTCGGCAGCCTTCAAAGCCACGGCGCTTGACGCACATGCAGCAAAGGAGCCGCACGGAGAGGTAGATGAGAATCACACTTCCCGCTTGGGAAGGAGGTGGCAGTTGGATTCTTGTGGCGGGAGGTGATGTTGTGTCATGTAGGTGGTGGAAGATGTGATGATGTGATGTAGCTGGCGGTTTTCTACCGTAGGTTTCTTTGAATGCGCATGTGGCCTAGTAGGTCCATGGGGTGGGTGAACGTGCGGGTGCAGTGAGGGCAGTTAGGGCGGATGCGTCTGGTGCATGCTGATGTTCCAGGCACTAGTTCGCTAGTCTCTGTGCAATGGATTCGCAAGTGACCGACCAGGCCGATGCGTGAGGTGAAGCTGCAATCGCAACGAGGACAGGTACGGACCGAGTCCACATCGTTGGTATTGACAGTGGTGTCGTTGATGTCTGTCGGCGTGTTAGGATTGAGTGCAGTGTTGATGGGTGCAGGAGCCGTCGCAGCGGATGTTGAGGCAACAGTGTACGATGGCAGTGGATGTTCAGGAGCGCGGGCAGTGTTAACTGTCGGCGTGGGAGAGGAGGCAGAGGTGGACGGGGACAAAGGATGGTGTCGTTTGGGTTCTACGGTTGGTACGAAGATGTCGAATGAGATCAGTTGGTGTCCGGAACGACCGCTGGCATCGTGGGCTGGTCAGTAGAGGTTGAGCATTGACGTTGCGAGGTGGCCACAGTCGAGATTTAGGAGGTTTGCGTATGACTTTGGCAGCGATGATGCCGTTGGCTTCGTAGATCCCCGTGCTGGTCTTCACTGCTCTCCGCCAGGTCAGTTGGTTCGCAAGCGAGGTCTTCTAACTTGGCCGAGTCGATTTGCAAGTGCCTCAGGGAAGTCTTCAGGGTATCCTTGTAGCTCCGGACTTGACCTTCCTGTGGGCGGAACCCGTGCAGAGACCTCCATGCAAGAGTCCTTCGGGTAGCCGCCTGTCGTTCATTCGTCCGAGGCCGTCGCTCCAACACAGTTGCCGTTGTCTCAGCATGCTGTAAATGTTGATGATTTCCGTCCGTTCCAGCGCGCCCGTGTCCGGGATCCGGTCCTGTCATCGGAGACAGCTGAGGTGGAAGTATTCGCATCGTCCCGCCGGCTTCTTGTACAGCGTCCAGGTCGCCGCTCTATACAGCAAAGTCGGTAGAATGACGAATTTGTCGTATTGAGCTTGGTGTTGATGTGGATACAGCGTCGATTACAAACTGCGTTTCGCAGACGGCCGAAGCCTTGGCAGGCTATGAAAATCCGTCGACAATGTTGGTGTTTCGAGAGAGGGTTCTGCTTAGGTAGATGAAGCAGTCAACGGCTGACAGTTGGACGTCGTTTACCTCGATTTAAGGTGCCACGAAGGTAACTTCGGGCGGCGGTCGATGCACAATCGCCGTCAACGCCATGTTGATGAGCAGACCGAAATTTCCACGCGCAGCTGCAAGGAGGTTCATGCTCTTCTTCATGTCCTCTTCTGAGGTGGCGTTGAGAGCGTAGTCATCGTCGAAGAGGAGCGCACGAACTGGAGTTGTTGATACGCACGACTGTGAATGCATTCGCCGTTTATTGAGAAGGTGGCCACCCCTCCTGAAGGCGACGCGGATACCGGAGCGTTCGTCATGGTGGGCTTCCATCAGCATGGCGGAGAACATGAGACTGAAGAGGGTAGACGCGAGGACGCAGCCCTGTTTCACTCCGTTCGTCACTACAAATGCCTCTGTGACAGCTCCATTTTCTCTGACGCGCGCCGTCATACCATTGTGGAGCTGACACATCATCTGAGTGAATCGCGCGGGGAAGCCGAATTCTTGCATGATTTTCCACAGTCCTGCGTGATTCGTCGTGTCGAAGGCTTTCATCAGATCCCTCAAGGTAGAGTGCAGGTGAGTCCGCACCTCCTGACACTTATGCTGCTGTTGGCTGGCAGCGAAGATCCTGTCCATGGTCCAAAGATGACGGCGGAAGCCGCACTGGCTTTCCGGCAAGAGACCTTGTTCTAGGTGGTTGTTCAGACGACTGAGAAGGATACGAGCGAAGACTTTCCCAGGGAAATGCCTTGATGGTTGTCACAAATTCGGCGGTTCCCTTTCTGCTTGTAGAGGCGCATGATTGTGGTGTCTTTGGAATCCTGCGGGACTTCTCCCTGACGTCACATCTCCTGGAAGAGCGCCGTCAGAAGGTCCATGAGTTGGGGCCCACCATTCTTGTAGATCTCAGCAGGGCTTGCGTCCGATCCAGGAGCATTCTCGCTGGAGAGCTACTGCAAGACCCTGATGGTTTCCTAGACAGAGATCGGGAGGTCGAAGTCGGCATTGGTCTCCACTTGAGGCAGACGGACGATGGCGGTGTCCAAGATGGTGGAGGGATGGAATGCCTGACCCATCGCTAAAGCATCCGTGTCTTCTCGGTGAGTACCGTACTGCCGTCGGCGCTGAGAAGAGGAGCAGTGCCTCTGGCTGGTGGACCGTAGACAGTCTTGATCGCGGAGAAGAAACCCTTCCATTCGTTGCGGTCTGCATACCCTTGGATCTCACCGGCGTTGCGAGCCCTCCAGGCCTCCTACCTCTCCTGCACGAGGCGGCGACTACGGCAGAAGGCTGCCCTGTTGTCTTTGGCGAGGCGGCTGGCGTCCGCTTTGTGCAATCGGTTTTTCTGGACAAGTAAGTTGCTGATGGCTGCGTTATTGTCCTCGAACCAGTCCTGATGTTCGCCACGTGCGCGACTAAAGTCGGCCAGGGCGGTTGGCTGGACCGTGTTCTTTAGTTGACACCATCGGTTCTCCACTGAGGCGTTCTTGTCGGCGACCGCTCTGGCGACCGGAAGGTTGACTAGCCTTTCGGATGATCTCAGCCAACGACAACAAAGTAATATTCAGCTTGTCTGAGGGTCGCCTACCTTGAGGTCTCCTGTGAAGCTGTGGGCAAATCCGCGTTTTGGAGATGACGAGACGATGGTCGGTTCACCAGGCAGCCCCAGAATCGTCTTTGTCGCCAGCATGTTCTACTGGTCTCGCCTCCCGTCGAGAACAAAGCCCAGTAGGTGCCACTGTCGCGAAAGAGGATGGGCCCAGTTGGCCTTTTCTCGCATGGAGAGGTGGAAGAGGGTGTTGGTCAGGATGAGCCGGTGTTCTGTGCAGGTTCGTAGGAGGAGCCCATCGAGACTATGGGACCCAGCATTCCTCTCCAGGCAGTATGGTCTGTGCCAATGCGAGCGCTGAAGTCACCAAGGAAAATCAGCTTATTAGTCTTCGGCACAGGCGACGTCCGCTTCCCGTCACTCTGCCCTGGGGCGACCTCTCCGCAAGAAAGGGGAGCTGGCATCCACCTCCTCCAGTTGGGCTTGTTCTGAGAACCGGATCTCACTGACTGCTGCGATGTCCAACTTTTAGCGCGCCACTTTCCGAGCCACTAGCGCTGTCCCCCCATTCTGGTCGGTTGCTCCTAAAAGGGAGCGAATATTCCAGGCTGCCAGAGTGAGCGGACTCACCCCACCAGTCTGGTGAGTGGGGCTGCTAGGAGGAGAAGGGGGAGGAGAGAGAGAGGGAGTATTGTTTCTATTTTGGTTGTTTCGACCGTGAGTTTTGCGTCTGAGACCACGGTCAACCTGCAGACGGCGTGGTTCCCCAGCATTTGCTTAGGGCACTTTGCTACGGGCAGTCATCATGCCGGCCCTGCGTCATTGTTCAAGACCTCGCTGCCTCAAGGTCGTCCACCCTTTTGCAGCGAGCCGCCCCAGACGCGCTGACCTGAAGCCACTCGACCGACTTCAGCTCGGACACAATGACGTCGTCACAGCGCCGCAGCTTGCCATGCGCCACTTAGACGCGTCATCCCCTTGCGAACAACAATATAAGACACTATGACATTACCACCCGGCAAATGTAACGCACAACGATTGGAGACCACTTGTGCTTGGCGCCCACGAGCCTACAAAAGTGGCTGCCGCCACTGTCCAAGGGGCTCTCAGGCATGACTGGACGCAGTCAACACCAGCTCTGGCTTTGTCAGTGGTCACTACCGCCGGAGAGGGCAACTCCGGGTTCATTTTGGCGGGTGCTTTCTTCTCCTTCCAACATGGGGTTTGACCTGGTGGCGGTAGTGCACAGAATACACCTGCTCATCGCCTAGCCTCCCACCCTCCCCCTCGCGTGGGTGTGCAGTGCTCTCCCTAGTTTGGACTGCTCTGACGGGAAGCAGATCTTTCTCAACCCTCTCTAAGCTAAGGGGTTGCTGAAACATAAACGTTGGGCAGAATAATTAAACAGAACCCTATTTAGCTTACAGCATAGACAAAAAACACACAAGAAGACAGAAGTGAGCAAGCAAGAATAATAAAAAAGCAAAGACAACAAGACAATATTCGGTTTACCAGAGGGTCACCTGCCTTGAGACTTCCAGTTTTATTGCAGAGGAAGCTTCATCTAGGAGGTGGCGATGTGGTGATTCGTAGGACTTTTGACCGTGGGGTAAGAGAGTAGGGTAGAGTCTATTGAGAGTGAGAGGCAGAGGAGAAGGGCGGCGAATAGATGCGAAGGAGAAGCGAGGGAGTGGTCTTCCAGCCACTGAGTCAGTAGCTGACTGAGTGCCTGTGGCACACACACGGTCACCCTCACCTGGGTTGACCCGCCTGTCAAGCCGGTTGCCTGGGTGTGGCCGCCAGGCAGAGCCTAGCTCCACAGTGCCACAGGTAAGAGTTGGGTAGCAGCCAATGGACGCTAGGCGTCCGTCACGCGGACGCAACAACTGGACACCCCTACACCCTGGGTGACGGCTAATAAACCAGGAATCGCAATCCTGATCCTCCTTGTTTGCTGATTGATACTAACAGGGGCAACAAGTGCACTTTTCTGCTGATGGAGGTGTGGAAGTTTCCGGGACGTCAGTACAGATACAACTTGGTCCATGAGATTGCCCTCACCTCTTCTTCTTCTTCTTCTTCTTCTTCTTCGGGAGATTATGAACGAGACAAATATATGTGTATAATGGTAGGGGGCGCTCACCGATCGTTCATACGGAACTCACTCGTTCCGTTGTGCCTTATGGGCTCTCTCTCGAGCCCAACCAGCAGCCGCACAGCGGCGCAGGATATATAGGCAGAATGATATTACCGACAAAGACAAGGAAGACTGGAATGGCTATTCCTGGCCTATTAGCCGTTGTCAGCCGGTCATACCCAATCCCGAAGTGTGGAACACCCGAGGCTCGATCTCGCGGCCTGTTAGTTAGAAGTCCCCGCCTCTTACCACTGGGTCACAAAACCGTCAGGGCAACGGGCTCGTGGCCCAGTGGTTAGAGCCATGGACTTCTAACGAACAGGTCGCGAGTTTGAGCCTGGGGTGTCCCATACTTCGGGTTGCGTGTGACCGGCTGACGAAGCCTAATCAGCTAGAAATAGCCATTCCAGTCTTCCTTGTCTTTGTTGGTTATACCATTCCGCCTATATATGTGTAAATGTAGAAGAACTTACTAAAAATAGTTTGTGCATTCCTGTGCACGGTGACGACAAAAAAGCGGTTTCGGACGAAAACAATTGTAGCCTTTACCATGCTGTGTGTTGAACTTATCCTTAACCTAACTCTAACCTAACCCAATTGCAGAAGAAGTGGCTGCTCAAGGCCCTCGTTTGTTCAATGAAGTTCATCGGTGTTTCCTTCTATCCGACTTAGCTTGCGGCCTAATGCGAAGCCAGCGTCCTTAAACACCCAAACCGGGGCAGAAAGAAGGCCCTAAATGTCACCCTGTGCGGACAAAAAACTGAGTGCTTTTAACATGCTTTTGTACTACGAAATAATTGGTCAGAAAATAGCAATGCGTGACTTTACACTGAGCACGCCCTCGTAAAAGCGGGGGGTATGTTAGCAGGCGCTTGACGGAAGAGAAACTGCGTGGTAGGGCGTCCTCCTGGCTGTCCATGTGAAAACAATTCTCATCGCCGGACCGCGGGGAAGTGCTAATAAAACTATAGTTAATCCTCCCTAGGTCTTTGGAAACCTTAATTTGCGAAGTTCTTGCTTCGTTGCTCTTAGTATTTTACTAAGGGGAGTTTCGGCTGGAAAGGAAAACAACCGGCCAGATGGCGCTGAAGGAAATAACGCCCCTCCGGCGTAAATACGTGCGTGTGTGCGTTTGGCTTGGGCTGTGTGTCGCCGTGATGCCACGAAAGGAGGCCGCGACGTCGAAGCTGGTGGCCAATCAAAATCGTCCGTTTATAATTAGCTTGCTAAGGGTTGTAAAACTGGCAAGGCTGCTGCCTACACCGAGCCTTCCCCTCCACCTCCTGCCTGACTCTAATTACGACAAACGTTCGAAGAAGTATCATGGGCCCGTCTTCTTCGTGGGTCACCTCCGAAGCAAAGATGACAATAACGTCAAACAAAATCAGTCGTGGCCAACGCATACCCATAACCTCCTGAACCCAACTCCACTGTGGTGGTCACAATTGGTCTTTGCATACCTCTTATAGAGAGCCCGCTGAGCATCCGTTTGGCTGCCTGCAAAGTTCACCAGATGCGCTTTGAGACTTTCTTGTCATCGCTTCTTCCATTTCAACACGTCCCCTTCTGGTGTACTGGTTGTGCCTTGAATCAAACTCTGCGCAACACAGAGGACTAATGGATTCCGCAGTGGTTCCTCCACTTCGCCTTCACGCAACCTGGTCTCCAGTTCGCGCAAGGAAGCGTCAAAAACACCAGACGGCTGGTTTGACTTATTCTGTTGCTGACGCTCAGACATAAGATAGGCTCTTCTCGGTGGATCGAATCTATGTTTGCCGCCTAAGATTTGCTCAACTGACTGCGTCTGTCTGCGAATCTGATGACAAGGCGCAGGCGACGGCAACAAGGTCTGCTGTAGAGCCAGAGTCACACGTTTTCACGTGCGTAATTCATAAATTCAAAAAACTACTCACCCTGAGTATTGACGTTTTGGCTGTTTTGGTCTTCTCCTCATACGGCGGAACGACAAGTAGACTTTTGTTGGATCTGCAAAAAACCTTTTCCTTTGTTCTGGATTCTGTCAGGCTGAAGAACCGACAAGCAGCGTTTGGGCCTTCAAATGAGCTGGCGAAATTCATACCACCACTGAAAGTACGTACTAATGTCGAGTTACGGGAAGCAGCCCCATCCAGTTTTAGGACCACTGCTAGTCCACATACGGTCACTGATTGTTTGACTGGTGGCTTTGTCAAGATATCGGACGTCAAAAAAGCATCGCTACTCCTAAAGGAGTGGTGCTGTGCTTCTGAACCTCCTGATCTGCAAGATCAATAATGCGAATGGATCGATTTTTGCGGAGGCGGGAACGGCAACAGCTTCCCCACCTCCTCAGTCGTTACGAAGATTGCTGCAATTACCCGTGACTTGGGGATGGCTGAATAATCTTTCACGACATCTCTGAAAGAGTTCAAAAGGCGAAATCGCAAACAAAGGGCTTAAACGTAATGGATGCATTTGGTGAAGGAACCAGGGTTTAAAAAACTATCTCGATTTATCAGCAGCTCAGAGAAATGCATGTGAGACCACGCCTGGATGCGAACTTGAGAATGTCTCAAATGTTAATGATGCTGGCCTGTTTTTCGGAATACTCCCTCATTATACGTTGACCCTGCCAACGAGGATTTGGTGGCAATCAGATGTAAAATCAAGTCGGCTGACTGACTACTTTATC